AAGTCCCTCTGCCACCATGGAGGATCTGAGACTGGCTGCTGCACTCACTGGTTGAATGCTTTCGCCCTTTTGTTAGGGGTTGTGATGCTCTCAGCTGTCTGAAGGTGGTGGCCTTAGTTCCTACTTTGCACAGGACAGGATCTCACTGCAGAGGAGAGTAAGAAACCCTCCACCTTGGTGGTTGTGTCACCCTCATTTATACCAAGTGACTACTCACGTGCAGGAGGACTAGCAAATGGGTATCACTGTTCCCAGCTGAGAGCCTTAATTTTGACAATGATACTTAAGTTTCTCTCTGAGATAAAAAACTATTTAATTAAAGTGAAAATACTATAAAAATATTTATTTACAGTGGAAATATTTAATTACAGCTAAGCAGAACAGCTTACAACAAGAGGGGAGGAGCGTACTGCACACCCATATTCATCCCCTATATATTGTGGAGGATGGAAGTTAGGGTCATGACTGGTAAGGTTTCAATTCTTTCAGGCAAAAGTATGTAGTTAATATCAATTCTGGATTTCCTGTATCCTGGATAGATATTCCCTAGCCTGAGCTATTGAATTAGAGGCAGGACATCCTTAGGTTTGGTAAAAAAAATAGAATACCTGCTATAATACTGCCTCCCAACATAGAATCATAGAATGGTTAGGGTTGGAAGGAACCTTAAAGGTCCTCTCACAGAATCACAGAATGTTAGGGATTGGAAGGGACCTCGAAAGATCATCTAGTTTCAACCCCCCTGCCAAAAGAAAGTGCCAGAAATACCCCTTCTCTCAGTGGGAGAGTGATGAGATGGGGCATAGGGCAGTGTGTGACAATGAAACTCCAGCTATGAACTAACAGCTGAAAAAGAAACAACATGGAGACAGAAATAAATTATTATTATGGTCAGTTTCCTGTTATTTTTGCAATTACAGTCTTTTTCAGTTTCATACCTGGATCTTCTGGTATTCAAATTTGGGATGCTTTATATCATCTACGTTAAACTTTCGTAAATTCCATGTGCATGAACCAGATTTTAGAGAGGCAACACCTATTTGAACTAAATTAGCCACCATCTAAATTTCACTTTTGAGTACAATTGACAGCCAGCCTGTGTTTTAGAAAGTGTTTTTTCAGTATGTCTGGGCAAGCTCTGAAATAAGAGGAAAACTGTGCCTGTGTGTTGGACCTGCTTTGAAATATTTGTGTGCACCAATGATGAACTCTCTTTCTTTCATTTTGGCAGTGGTGGAGATGGTACTGAAAATAAGGAACTCCTTTGTTTAGGCATAGATACATGCTGCAATTCAGCATTGCAACACACAGCTGGATGAACAGTTCTTCAGAAAGCCCCAAAACATGACTTAGTGGGAACCAGGAGCTGGCAAGCCAGAATTCCTTCCTGTTTCCCTGAGGGGGAGAGAGAAGGTTTGATCTTTCTCCAGCATCTCTTTCCATAGGTATATGTTTTACATAAAAACTTTAAAAAGATATTTTAATACAAGAGTTCTTAGTCAGACCCTAATTCTGCAGTTTTTTGAACCAATTGACAAACATTTCGTAGGTTTCACAGGGTTTGGGCTGCTAGTCTCTAGCAGTCCACTGTGCTGTGGTGTTGCCATCAGTGTAGTTCTAACATGGCTTGTTATCAGGGCTTCCCTGCCATCCCAAAGCAGCAGTGGGCTCCAGAATCTCGAGCATGTTACACCTAAAAAAATTGTAGTAAAGAACCCTTTCCTCTCCGAAGCAAGGATGTAAGAAATGATATTGCAGGCAATGACTGTAGCTAGGCGAACAGCAACCAACCATTGTAATGTTTCACAGATTTCCAGAACTCATTCCCAGAATTACCAGGTACCTATCTTGGATGTTAACGTCCAGGCAGCATAAGGAATGAGCATAAGGAACTTGGTGCTTTGTTATTTAATCTTTAAACTTAGCTTTTCATCTCTGCTTCTTGTTAGTTATTCAACGTATGCCTGATGTTAGTAAAGTGCTGTGGAGTCTTACCTGTTGCTGATTTTTACCAGGAGTCATTCAGGGTCTTGCAGGAGATGATCTTGAAGGAAGCAGTTCTTGAACTATATACTTTAAATTAGCTTGTGTATTCGGTTTTGTGTCATATAAATGGCACAGGCAAGGGGCTTCCAACAGGTTTCAAAGGATTTGTATTGCTTAAAAGGACAATTACTTGAGTTTCATACTGAATTATAATAAGAATTAGAAAAATACTGGAATTTGGAGAAATTTGAATAGAATTTTTTTTCCCCCCTTAAGGAACAATGGGCTGTAGTTCATTAGTTTTTATTAAGAGTTTAAAATGTTTGATTGATGATGAGATTTCTCCAAACTTTATGTTTAGAAGTTCTGATATTCTTCTCTGGAACTTTTGGAAAACACAAAACTGTATGTGTTTATGAGATTGCACTGACTGCAGAAAGTATCTTATATAAACTGTGTTGTGTAATCTTTTATACAATAGTGTGTCTCTGATGCTAGTCATACATTTAAAAGATTGTATTTTCCTATTTTTGCAGTACTTAAAAGCTGAATTGATTGTTATCTAAGTTATTGCTGGTGATTTTTCTTGCTGAGCAAAGCATTGTTCCTTGGTACCACTGCAGCAATGACACTCTGGCTGTCTAGATCATCCTGCTTCAGAAAAGCAAATAAGTACATGATTAAGTTTTTTTTTTACTTTAGCACATACTAAAAATCCTAAATAAAGAGGTTCCTCCTAAGTGTTTAGTTTTTATCAAGCAGTTCCCCAAAAGTAGATGGTAAAGAAGACAATAGGGATGCTCCTTTGGTTTAGTATTAGAGGGATCAGAAGTTTTAATATATTCTATAAATTTTATATTTACATGTGATTCTAACTACTCTAGATTTTAGTAATTGTTTCAGTAGGCCAAGTGCAAGATACAGGAAAAAGCCTTAGTTTAAAAATTACTGTATTCAGTAGCACGAAATTAATTAATTGTACCACCTAAGCTGAAAGAAGAAATAATAATGTGCACAGGTTCCTGAATTCCTGTCAATAGGAATTTAGTGCATTAGCTCCAAATAATTACATTTTTCCTACTCACTTTCAAATAACCTGCTGAGACCCAAATGAATGACTGAATCTTTCAGTATCATTCTGATGTTTAAAAATAACACTGAGTTCTGAGTCTGTTTATTAAACATACTGCTTCTTCACTGGGAATGAGAATTTTTATAATCTATAATCTGACTTTCATGACCAAAAAAAACAAACCCTCCAGTAAATAAGCTTGTCCTGGGACAGATGAGCCCAGGTGGTTCAGAGCTGGATCTGAGCTCCCAGGAGCTGGCTGCTCAGTGGTCAGCAGTGGCAGGATGCAGACAGCTCAGGCAGAACTGTATTGGAAGTCACGCTGCTCATGTTTTTTTGATCTCCTCTCTTTGGGCTTTTCCTTACCTCACCTTCTTGTTATTAACATGCACGTGCACACACACAAAAGAATTTCTGAAGCATGATTTGCTATTTTTTTTTTTTTTTTTTAACTGAATAATGAAAATTTCCAAAATCTGGAAGTTCAGAAGTTCAGGCTCAACTTAAAGCAGTGCTGCTTAGCCAGCTGCATATTAGTCATTGTCTCTGTTCCTGTTTTCTCTGTATTTCACAAAATTTCAAGCTGACCTATCATTCATTTAAATCTTAAGTTTTTTTCTTTCATATCTTCAACCTCAATATCTTATGGTTTTGTTCTGTTATGTGGGAAAGGAATATCTCTAGGCTTTGTGTGTTTTTAATGCATATGAACCATGTTAAGAAGTGATCTTAGAAAATTTTGCACTTCAGTCATGGAATCCCAGAATGGTTTGGGTTGGAAGGGACCCTAAAGATCATCCAGTTCCAACCCCCCTGCCATCAGCAGGGACACCTTCCACTAGACCAGGTTGCTCAAAGCCTCGTCCAGCCTGGCCTTAAACACTTCCAGGGAGAGAGCATCCACAGCTTCCTCTAGGAAACCTGTTCCATTGTCTCACCACCCTCACAGTAAAGAATTTCTTCCTTCTATCTAATCTAAATCTTCCCTGTTCCAGTTTAAAGCCATTACCCGTTGTTCTGTCACTACCTGCCCTCCCCGGCCTTCGTGTAGCCCCTTCAGGTACTGGAAGGCTACTATAAGGTCTCCCTGGACCCTTCTCTTCTCCAGGCTGAACAGCCCCAACTCTCTCAGCCTGTCCTCATAGAGCTCCAGCCCTTGGATTATCCTCGTGGCCTCCTCTGGACTTGCTCCATTAGGTCCATGTCCTTCTTGTGTTGGGGGCCCCAGAACTGGACACAGTACTGCAGGTGGTTCTCATGAGAGCAGAGGGACAGAATTACCTCCCTTGAGGTGATCATAGTAAAAATTGTGGATGAAGTGGTTCTTTGATCTGCAAGGCCGTCCTCAGTGTCCCAGTGGTCTGCAAAACCATACTGACAAATAGAATTTACCAGCTCACTATAACTTCATGGTTAGAAGGTGGTCTGCAAGAAAGTACATCTGGTGGCAACGGCATGTTGTTTGAGAAGTTGGATCATTACTGCTTTTGTGAATTACTGAAACTGAATTGATTGAATCCATATATATTTATTTTTTACATTCTTTGGTTTTGGTACTGGACATTTTTAAGGTAGAATCATTTTTAGAAGGCAGTCACATTAAAAGCGGGGAGAAAATCCCAATTAAATATTACTTGAAGGAGCACCAAAGAAAGACAAATTTTTAACCCTTACATAATTTTGCTGTTGTCCAAGTAGCTGAAGAGAGAGAGGGCTTTGTGATCACTCTCTGTTAACACCAGGATGCTGAGGCATTGGCATCTTCATGCAGTGGTTCATATCCCAAGGCCGTTAAGTTCAAATGAATACACAGCATTGGAGTAAAAGAAAAAAAAAAAGCTGTGGTGTATTGGCTATACATGCTATACTGGCTTCTGAAGCGACACTGCAGCAAGAGGTGACTCCACATAACTGAATATGAACCTTTCTTTGTTCTCGTTAGCTTCATCTCTCTGCTGTGAAACTGGCAGAGTTGCACAGTGATCTAAAAATACAAGAAAAGGATGAGCTAAGCTGGAAAAAACTGAAGGCTGAAGGGCTAGATGAAGATGGAGAGAAAGAAGCCAAACTCAGACGCAACTTAAATGGTAAGGTATATCTGCAGAAATTTAAACTTAGCATCAGACACATACATGGTGAGACACTTGGGTTTGAACTGTTAAATAACGGGTTGTCTTTCCAGACATTGGGCTCACACGAGTTCCTTGGAGGTCAGTAGGGAGCTACAGGAGGCTAACGGATTCCTTTCCTCCTGATGTTTTCAGAAGAGGTTATTAAACCTGGGACCTCGGTGTCTTAAACTGTTAGCTTTTCCATTGTGAGCTTCACAATCCAGCTCTGCAAGTCAAGGATGTAGCCAGTCTCTCATCTTCCATACATCTGTAGTCGGTTCTAATGTTTCTGTATCTTCTATTCCCTTGCAGTCATCATGACTAAATATGGAATGAATGGCAGGAAGGACTCTCAACTAGTTGATACCAACTACATTAAAGACACTACAGAAAGTGACACACTAGATGATCCAAGACTGGAAAAATTATGGAGCAAGGTGAGTAAGGTTACCAGGAACTGGAGTGTAGGAAATCAGCATTTCTTCATTGAACTACTGTGTGTCTTCTGAGAGTGCCCAGACTTGGAATTGAATAGCTGTACTACTTTGCTTTTAAGTACTAGCCTAGCTGCCGTGCTCTGTAGCTCACATCTTTGTACCCTGGTGGCATCTCACCTGCATCCAGGTCACCAGATGTGACAGATTCTCTTTGCCAAAGAAAACCGCACCTCAGTGTGAACGGAGGATAAGATCCTGGGTCCCCTGTGGACAGAGTTTTTCCTCAAATTTCACTGAACTAATGATTTCCCTTTGGTGACTATTACACTGTGTGGTAGAATACCTATAGGTTTTTCCTCTTTTTCTTATTATTGTTTCTAGGCTTTTTTAAAAAGATACATCTGAAATAAAATCATTTCATAGACTGTTTAAAAAGTGAAATGTATAGTGGAGGGTGTTAAATAAGGACTTTCCCAACCTGATATTCAAATGAAAATTTCCAGGATTTGCATTAATGCATAAAATATAGAAAGTATACTGTGAGTCTGGGCAGTTAAGTCATAATCTTAAAAAATTAAATAATTCAAGCTTTAAGAAACAAGTAGTCAGGTAAAGCAAGGAATTCTTACACTCCAGTGCAGCAGAAGCAGAGAAACAGATCTGCTGGGTTTTAAAATGTTACTCTGTCTAGATACAGCTTTGGCAAAGACACATGATGTCATATGCTCTGGGGAACAGTAAAGTGCATTAGATGGAAATATTCCTTAAGCAAAAAAAGGGCTGGGGCTGAATAGGTATCAAAAGCATTCACTTTTGATCATGCATTGCAGCAAATAAATCACCAGATTTGTGGGTAGTGCTCCAGCTGCCTGACCAGTGCTTCTCTCATTGCTGAAAAGACTGCAGAGCAAATGCAAGGCAGTGATAAAATCTTCACTTGCCAGTAGAGTAAGATTAAGTGAAGACTGTGCTTAATATCAGGCTGCATCCCTCATGCAAACAGTCCCCTTACAGTTGCATATGGAACTCCGTGGCCCTTATTTCTGTATTAGATTGTTTCCCATGGAATAGAAATGACAGACACTTTTCACTGGGTAGTCCATAGCAAGTCCAGCTTTATAAATCTGAAGCAAGGTTCTTTTTGACATGATTAAAGCCACCATATCTGTCAGTGTCTACATCCTGACCTCATACTAATAGAAAGAGATTTAAAAAAGATCTTAAGGAAAAGCTGGACTTAGTAATTTTCTAAATGTAGTAGGAAGTGGGAAGAAGTTTTGGCAGTTGAATGCACTTAAAAGCACTTGGCCTGGAAAGCATAATGAGCTCAAGTTTCTTTCAGGCCAAGACCTCTGGGAAGTTCTCTGATGAGGAGCTGGATAAGCTTTGGCGAGAATTTAAGCATCACAAAGAAAAGATTCATGAATACAATATTCTGCTGGAGACCGTGAGCAGAACAGAAGGTGCCTGAACATTTCTCTGATATTTCCAGATCAATACAACTCTTTCTCTGCCCCTTGCCTCCATTGTTTCCAAGTTTCTTTGAAACTCTTGAAGTCTGACATTTCTGTCGCAGCTGCTTGCACATGCTGACATTTCCAGATACTCGCTGGGTTTAGTTCTTCATTAGCTGCCAAAAATCTTGCCACCTAATGAAAATGTTGCCATTTCAGTTTTCCGGTTCTGCCTGCGTTTCAAGCAGGGAAGATACCATCCCATTAGCAATCATGGCTGTAGTAGTTTACTGGAAATTATGCAGCAAGCGTAGATCCACTGCTGCAAAATGTGGTCCTGAAGTCTGCAGAACATGTATGTTTCATCTCACCAGCTGAGAGCCCAAGAGGATATTCTTGAATATTTTAGGCACTGAGCCTGAGGTGTGTTAAAGCACCAAGGATCTGAATCCAGCTTGCTGTACTAATCCTAGCTAAAATTGTTAGAGACAAAGTATTCTAAAGCTTATAGGCAGTTTAGTGTTTGCATTACAGAGTTCAAGCTGTAAGTTGCTGGAAGTCGTTTCAACATCGGATGTCTTAATTGGTTCATGAAATGCCCAGGGAAGATGGCACAGGACTAATCAACTGTCCCTATCCCATTTCCTTGGGCTGTTGCTAACCTAGGAAAATAAGAACATTTCCTTACTAAAATCTTGGCTGGTGGCCAGTAGGAGTTAAAAGGCATTTCTGTGATATCACCTGCCAGAGCACTGAGGGGCATTGATGTTAATATTGACCTGCAAAAAGAATTACTTCTTCTGAAAGTGTGGTGTTGATGTTTTATTTGCACTCAGCTGAAATGCTAAGAACTTACCATCTTTTGTTCGCCTCAGATATGGGAGATTTCTGAAGCTTTTGACCTATCAGGATTTGGCCCACAATCAATAACAGTTTTCTTCTTCAACAGATATCCACAAAAATGTTATCAACCCATCTGAAGAGAACCTGGTAAAAGAGGAAATCTTGCACAACAAACACAGAGAACTCAAAGACAAGCTAAGAAGCATCAATCAGGGGTTTGAGCGTTTGCGTAAAGTCAGTCACCAGGGATATGACACGACCAGTGGTATGATACAGTGGGTTTTGTGCTTATTTGGGATTGATTTCATTTAAAAAAAAATTAAAAATCAGTGGGCAAGTAGTAAGATGTAGTCACAGTATTACAGTACGTGGTGTGACCACAATGGCCTGAAGAGATACAGCCAGCTTGTTCCTTTTAGAGGCCATTAGAAGCCTAATGAAATGATGGGGACAACCTCTAAAGAGGATAGTTCTGTCTTCCATGCCCACATTAGAAGTGGAATTATGCCATCAGCCCCAGGAGGGCAGGTAAGTGAGACAGCATGCAGGGCGAGCAGTGCCATTATTTAGTTCCTAGGGTTTTTTTTTTCTTTTTTAAAAATACTTGCTCTAGCAATACTATGGGTTTAAGTTAAGTCCTTGGATTTTTCTCCCTTTTCATCTAAATAGACCTATTAGTAATGTGGTGGTTAATATAACTGTGTGTATGTATGTGAGAAAGCATGCTCATCTTTCATAGAAGCTGGGCATAAAAACATTGTGTCCAAATTTTCATTTAGTGGTATGTGTTTGTTTAGAATTTGAAGAACCAAGAGTGATTGATTTGTGGGACATGGCCAAATCAGCCAATTTCACTGAGAAAGAACTTGAATCTTTCCGGGTGAGTAGAATTTCCATTAGATCTCTTACGGAAAGATATTTTCCCACATAAAGAAAGACTTGACGTTACTCTCAGTGCAGCCGCTTCTGTATTGCTGCTCAGACACCATAAAAAAGAGTCCTGCTTCTTTCTTAATATTTCAGATATATAAACATGTATGTAACTAGTCATATGCATGGTTCTGTTATAATCAGCAAAATGAAAATTCTGAGTCCTGTGAAAGCTAGTGTTGCGTATTTTAAATCTTTGAAATATCAGGCTCTGCTTGTTTGTTTCCAGCGCGCCAGATTTCTGCTCTTACCCACTGTCTTAATGTAATTACTTCTTTGAGGAGCAGTGTACTCTATATACCCAACAATTTTCTTCTCATGTCCACTTCTTGCACTGCTAACTTTCCCTATTGGAGCTATGTTGAACTGACCCAAAAGTACCATGATAAAGACGACTTCTCAAGGAGATATTATAGAAATTAATTCCTGTGGGGTTCATACTGGTTTTATTTAATTCAAATTGCATTGGGAAAATTGAGAGGTTTTTTTTCATCTGACTCTGCCTGTTTGTCAGAAGAGATTTTGATGATAGCCTGGAGAAGTAACTCTTCAGGGCTTCTTCAGGGAGTTGCATGTACTTACAATGTTGTCTTACCCTCCAAGACATGGCTAGGGCCACCTTGAGCTTCTTTTCCAGATAAGGTAACGAGGCAGTTTTAGCTGCCTGGGATAGGGATTGAAGTCTGTCTCTCTTAGATATCGAAGATCTGTCTTACTTCTTTTAACTCATGTGCAGCCTGATTCTCTTACGAAGCAAATGTTTCAGTGACACTGATTTCAGCAGCCCTGCTTTTAAGAGTGTCAGAGGAAAGCCTGCCAATGTCTGTAGTAAGCCTTTTGCTGACCTTAGTAGGAGATTTTGGTCAGGACTGTGTATTTGCATGACAGGTAAATTTGGCCTTCATATCTGCTGCAGTGAAAAAGAAAACCCCAGTTCCATAAGCAAGAACATATACCTGCTTACTAATTTTACTGTTTAGTAGAAAACTTCATTCATGCAAACCCTCTTCACCAGACCAAGCCTGTCTTGTTATGGTGAATGTTGGGATATCCCAACAAAAGTAAGACAGTAAGAATCACAGTGAAACATTTGCCTATTTAAAAAGTCCATGAAAGCAGAATTAAATCGTGTGCTGATTCCATTCAGCCTTATTTGAGCAGCTGAAGTTGCATCTTCTCACTGATCACAGTACCAACCTTCATAGGGTTTTATAATGAAAGATGCAAGTGCTGCTCTGCTGGTGCATCATCTGAGAGGAGTAGCTAAAATTATTTATCAGAGCAGCAAAACCCCAAACAGAGGTCCTGAACGGAGTATGTAAAAGAGACCGGAATATTCTACAGCAAAAGGAAAGTATTTTCTTGTCAGAAATACTGAAAACAAAAACCCTTTGCTTTAAAAACTGAAGATGATCTATTAGGGTGATGGATTATTTTTTTTTTATGTTGTCTTGAAATGAGAGGAATTTTGTCAGCCACAAGGACTGAAACACACCAGTGACTAAGATTAAGTGGGCTCTGTCAAACAGGAGGATTTCACTGTAGGGTTTGTCTGAGTTTTTCTGGATGCAATGCATAGAACTGCTGCTGTAAGTGGCATAACAGCTTGAACTGTTCATATCCTCTTCACAGAGGACATGTCCTAAGACACAGAGGAACTAAGTAGCAAAACAAGAGCATGCTTTGGGCATAGAGACATCATTACTCATTCTTTGGTCCCCCTTGCAGTGTACCAGGTTATCTGAGGACCATCTCTGATATGTCCCTGAACACCACAGTTAGTCTGGCCACTGCCTTTGGGGCAAACTAAGAGGGCTTTTTGTTTGTTAATTAATTCATCCTGTTTCGGATTCACCATAGCAGATTGCAAACCCAGAAAACGTTGAAAAGAAAGTCTGAGCAGAAAATAATAAATCTAGGACCTGATTTTGAAAAGAGACTTCTCTTAAAAATTGTCTGTCTCCCTCCCCCCAGTCTACTATTCTTCTGTATAAACTTTTATTTGGTATACACTGCTGTCATCTCCTAGCACTTCACAGGCATCAACAGTCTCCTTTTGTGAGGACTCTGCAGTGGGACGTTTTCAGCACCTGCCTTCAAAATTGGGTGGCTGGATGGTGATGATAATGCATTGTCCAGGCATTCTTAAGAAGCAGGGAACTGGAAAAGATTTCTGTGCTTGACTTAGTAAAATAGCATTAAGGATGTCTTGGCAAGAAAAGAGAGAGGAAGCCTTGGAAAGAAAACTCTGTGAAGCTGTGTGTATTTGTTGTCTTAGGAGGAGCTGAAACACTTTGAAGCAAAAATTGAAAAACACCATCATTATCAGAAACAATTAGAGATTTCACACCAGAAGCTGAAGCATGTAGAGGGAACTGGAGACAAGGATCATCTGAACAGAAACAAAGAGAAATATGCCATGCTGGAAGAAAAGACAAAAGAACTAGGATATAAGGTCTGTATAAATCCAGTGTACGTACGTGTTGAAAGCTGAACTCAGTAGTAGAGGGTGTGTAGATTATCCAGTGCTGATTTTTCATCCAAGATGAATGACTTCCAGAGGAGGAGTTTAAGGCACACCTGTGCTCCATGTTTAGTAGGGATATGCATGAGTGGGTTTTATATACTTAATTCTAAAAGTGCCTGAAATCCTTCTGGTCTCTGCTCTTCCTGTTGTCACATACACTGATAGCAAAATCTAAATATATGGTATTGTCTTACTAAAATTTGTTTGATGTATTTTTTTTTCCTGCTAGGTAAAGAAGCACTTACAAGACTTATCCAGCAGAATCTCTCAAGGTCTTCAACACAATGAATTATAAAAATTTGTTCTCCTTCATGGGATCAATCTGTTAACACAAAACACATAATGTGTTTTTTGAACAGGATTTACCAAGGAGTCCTTCTGAAATAGTAAGGATTGAACAAGGTTGTCCTGTAAGAAAATTTTTTTTTGTTCACTTAATTGCCAGTTTTGTATTTGCACTATCAAATTAAATGAATAGATTATAAATTTAAGTTGCACATCTTGGATCATATAAATCTTAATTCTGAATTAAGTAACAACCTTTGAAATAAGCAGTCATGTCAAAAGGAGAAACCTGTGAACTCTCAGAGGATTCCTGCTAGTAAAAAAATAAACTAATCTGTTAGTCAGGAGAGGTATTTCTGGTCAATAACAGCAAACACTGAGGTACAAGAAGTTAAAGCAGAGGCCAGAAGAGTCTGGCCTAATACATTTCCTACTGAAGGTAACAAAAATATTTCTGCTGACTGAGCAGTGGCTCAGAGCTGCACTGTATATGAATCTTTCATGTGAGAGCGGGGCGAAGAGTAAGGAGGGAACAAGTATTGAGGTCAGTTCATGCAATGTAGTTACAGACTAACACATCTGAAGCTACTGAATGTATGTGTACAATTATCTTGTTCATGGTTGCTTGGTTTTGTTACACTTAGTCATTAAAAAAATTAAAACAGGACACTGATGAGGCTTTTTTTTATTTCCCTCTCATTTAGTGAGAAGTAACCAGACTTATTTTTTGAGCATGTTCCTTATTCCTTTAAAGTTCAGTCACGCATTAGTTTTTAAGACAGGAGGGGTAGTTTTGCCCAGAAGAATGTGTTTCTGTGTTCTGAAGAGGCAGAAAGCTCTCTAGACTATCTTCTCTCTGAGCACTTTTCCATTACAGTCCCCTGTAAAGATTACTGTCACTGTCCCTTTTGAGACCAGAGTTTTCTGTACATGAGAACTTTGCCAGATATTAGCCATCTGGGTTGAAATTTCATATCATGATAATGCTGACCCTTTATTTCTAGGGAGTGTTTCACATGAAGCTGTGCCAGGAACAAGGTTAAGGCAAGGGACCAATGCAGGTAAATCATTACAGCTGCCTGGTTAAGAAGCTCTGTCACTCACAGATTGCAGCGCTGTGGTGTGCTGCATGAGGAAGCTGTCCCTGAGCCTTGCTTGCCATACCTGTTCCCTGAGAAATACTGAAGAGATCCATTCAGTTGAAATCAGCCACTCTCCTCTCAGTAATTTATCTAATTCCTGGATCCATGGTGGGTTAAAAATAGTATGATTCTGTATGTAAAGACCATTTAATAATCTCCAAGTGACCTGAACCAAAACTGGAGTAGCAGTCTTACTTTGAGATTCTGAGTGTCTGAATTTGAAGCAGTAAGCTTTTTTTAAATTATTTTTTATTTTAATGTAAGCTAACAGTTATTTATATTCCAGAGAATCACTATCCATCACAAGAAACAAAGGCTGCCATTAATATTAGCAGTCACCTTAGAGATGGTTCAGTTCATGTAGTTTATGGTGTACATCCCCTTTGGTTGGTAAGCTAAAAAAGGTAAACCCAAAAATAGCTAAAACCTATTTATGAGAAAAAAGAACCACTTTTTGGTTTTTTCCCTAGGTGCTACACACCATTTTTTCCCCAGACTATCGCTTTAAGGGCTGTTCAGCCTTCTTTAACACAGCAGTAGCTGCATTGTCTTACAGGTTTGTATTCATCTTTTTTTTTTTTTTTCAACTTTTTGGGGTGAATGCAGTATAAGATGTATTCTGCACTGTGTGTGGAAGCTGCAGGCTTCATGATGTCCTTCAGTTTTCCCTTTGATAGAGTAAGAAGTAAATCCACATACCACAAGTCCGTTTGGTGTTCAGTGGCTGTAGCGTTGTTTTGTAACGTGGATGTGGAGAATCCCACACCACTGGCTCCTGGGTGAATAAATACATCAGCAGAGGAAGGGAACTAAGCAAAGCACTGAAATGTGAGCAGTTCCTGCTCAGCAATCCTAGTGGGGTTTACAAGAATGGAAAAGCTTTTGTTGAGCATGTTCAGATACTGCTTCTGGGGAAAGTCTGTTGCACAAGGGAAAGCAACCTGAGTACCTCAGCCGACAATGAGGTGGGCAGAGTAGCTGTGTGCTCCACACAAGAGGGTACAGCAGCAAGCTGGGTTTCCTCTTCCATGTCTACCTGAAATAGAATATGCTTCTTTAAGAATATCTGAAGAATTTTGGAATGGCACAGGGTGCCAGATTTGTGGAACACATATCCCAGATCAGCAGGGGTAAGGTTGTCTCCAAGTGCAGAGCTGCCTCAGCACAGGCTGTAAGTGGAGGTGATGGCTCTCCTGTGCGATGGGGGCTGTCCCATGCCTTTGACCACCACGCCATGACAGCAAATAGGCTCAAAGGCCAGGTAGGCCCCAGCAGAGGGAATGCTTGGCAAGCACTTCAAAGTACAAGAGGCTGACAAAATAGTTACATGCCAGTAACTTTGGGTTAGGAATGAGTCACAGGATCATCAGTGGCAAAGGTTGGAGACTGGGGTCAGCAGAGTCACCTCATTTTAATTATTTAACATAACTGTTAATGAGTCATCAGGATCAAAGATTGTTCACACAAACCTAGAAGAGAAAAAAAAATATTAAACAGCAGTGGTTGCTGCCTCTGAATCCAACTTCCCCCTGAAACAGTTTGTAGCTAAGTGTCTGCAATAGTCTCCATTCCTGTCAAGGCTCTTTGGGGCTTTCCTTACTTTTTGAGACCTGGGGACAGTGCAGAGGCTGGGGAGTTTTGAAGTCTGATTTCACTCGTTTCTATAGTCTGCACCTTAAACACATCAATACATGCAAAGTTACAATACAATACAAGTTACAATACAAGTCAGTTAATTATTGCCGGTTTTAACCTTCCAAAGACAAGTTGTATGGACAAAATAACAAGCATGGGTAGTCTTTGAGATGTTAAAGATGAAAAAAATAGCCTGAGTCACCCATTTGCATTTCTGTAAATAGCAATAAAAATTCAAAGCCAAGAAAAAAGCTATAAATTGATTATGCCGAAAGGTGGATGATGGAGTTCATCATGGGTGAGACTGCATGGAAGAGACAACTGAATAGGAAAAAACTAACAGCTTTTAGAGTGGTTGAACTTTCTCCTCTTCCTTAACTGGTATTTTATCTGATCCTTTTGTAGTTATTTAAATTACCAAGTTTTTCAAACCACTCTGAAAAACAATTTGAAATACAAAAGTGGAAGCAGAAGGAGGGGGCGGGGCGGGAGGAAGATCAGAATGTTTTATGCTTTATATGATCTGTCAAATTCTGCCCTGAAAAAACCCACCTCAATTTAAATAAACATGTCAGTGATTTCACATAGGACAGATTTTATTAAACAGGTTGGGGGTGGAAATGAGGAGGAAATAAATACACAAGGCATTAAATACAACAAAAATAACCCAGTTTCTTAAAATGGGGCGGGAGGAAGATCAGAATGTTTTATGCTTTATATGATCTGTCAAATTCTGCCCTGAAAAAACCCACCTCAATTTAAATAAACATGTCAGTGATTTCACATAGGACAGATTTTATTAAACAGGTTGGGGGTGGAAATGAGGAGGAAATAAATACACAAGGCATTAAATACAACAAAAATAACCCAGTTTCTTAAAATAAACTCTGCGTCCTACATGGTGGTAGAGTAGCTCAGATCACATCATTATACAAATAAGGAACAGCCACTATGGCAGATACATTGCTGTAACAATTTCCCCTTCCCTCTCCCAAGGAATTCTGATGCCTAATACACCAGGCAATAGCCAGAGTGTTTAAATTCATCAAATAGAGATCATTTCCAGTTTGTAAGCTGAGGTCTGATGTCCTTGGTAGGGCTCTCCTCCTGCTTGCTGCCTGTCAGGCTCCCTCTAGCCAGGGTAACACAGCATTTGCACAGAAGGTGACAGAGAGCAAGAGCAAGAGAGACCAGCATCACTCCAGGATGTGGCTGCCTCCATAGCTGATCTCTGCTCAGCATTTAGAAGGGCCTCATGCCCTGGCCTGGGAGCAGGAGGCAGCTGCCAAGCTCCCAGCTGAAGAGCACAAAGCACAGCTGTGTGTACGCTGCTGAGGTCCCAGCACACAGCATCTGCAGCTCTGCTCAACCAGGCAGCTCACCCCGCTCGCCCTGCTCAGCGCTGGCAGGGGCCCTAATGCATCGTATTTTCTATTCTGCCATTTATTTAATACATGAGCTTAGGTGAATTGGTGCAGTTACACTCCAGGAAGGAGTGTAGGTCACCAGCTACGATCCAGCGTGCCACAGTGCCCAGAAACCAGAGCATGGCCACACCTTGAGTATTGTATTCAGTTTTTGCCCCTTCACTACAAGAAGGACATGGAGAAGGGCAACGAAGCTGGTGAAGGGTCTGGAAAACAAGTCTGATGAGGAGCGGCTGAGGGAGCTGGGGTTGTTTAGCCTGTAAAAAAGGAGGCTAAGAGGAGATCTTGCTCTCTACAACTACCTGAATGGAGGATGTAGGGAGGTGGGGGTTGGTCTCTTCTCCCAGGTAACAAGTGGTAGGACAAGAGGAAATGGCCTCAAGTTGGGCCAGTGGAAGTTTAGATTGGATATGAGGAAAAAATTCTTTCCTGAAAGGGTTCTCAGGCTTGGAACAGGTTTCCCGGCGCAGTGGTGGAGTCCTCATCCCTGGAGGGATTTCAGAGTCATCTAGACATAGTGCTGAGGGACATGTTTTAGTCAGGGACTTGTCAGTATAAGGTTAATGATAGGAAGTGATCATCTTAAAGGTCTTTTCTAATCTAGGCAATTCTGTGATTGTATGGCACTGGGAGCCAGGCCGCTGGGAGCTCCTTCACAGGCCCTAACCCAGGATCCCATCTCAAAATCCCGGTTACAGTGTTCAGCTCAGGACTAACCCAGACAGAGGTACACACTTCACATGCTTGGTTCACAACATACTCATCCACCACAGACCTTCCCTCTCATCATTGGTCCCTGCTTCAGAGAGGTATTTGGGTTTCAGGTTGGTTTTGTTTGTTTGTTTAAAAAGGTGACATTTCACATACAAAAATCTACCAGTACAGGTACACAGGCAGTTCTAAAATAATTTTTAAATATATTTTTTCTTTCCATAGCACTTATTTAGAAGAAATAAATAAAAATGTCATTAAATATACATCAATAAGTAGAATAGACTTGCTTTCATACAAACAGACTTACCGTTGTAACAGAGAACCAGGAGCTATGAAAGATGAAGAC